GTGCATTAGTCCAGAAAGGTCTCGGACAGCCACACCAGAGGGCCGATGGTGCTGCGCACAAGTGCGCACGGGTCCGGGGGTGATGCAGGGTGAAACCTGGCTGAAAACCAATGTCGCAGACAGAGCGAGCTAGTCGCAAGCAGACGCAAGGCTCGGAAGACCGAGGATGGTTGCACAGAGCTCGGATGAGCTCTCGGGGTGCCGTCGGTGTACCGAGGAGCAAGCGTGGGGATGCGGGCAGGGTCTATAAACTGACAGAGACATAATGCAGGCCCAAAGTTGCAGAACCGAAGTCGCAAGCAGGCGAAAGGCTCGGGGTACCGAGAATAATTACAAAGGGCTCGGATGAGGTCTCGGAGTGCCGACGGTGCATTGGGGAGACAGCCCGAAGGTGCGGGCAAGGTCTGTGGGCAAGTAGAGACTGAGTACAGGCCCAATGTGATAGAATCAAAGCGCTAGCTAAAGCCAGCGCTCTCCGGCTGGCATGGGGCTTGGTGGCCGAGCGGAAGACGTGCACAGCCACACCTGAGAGCCGACCGGAGTACCGATGCGCCAGAGCGCAAGGGTGGGAGCGAAGTACAAGACGATAAGACTCCACGCAGGTCCAATGATGCAGATGGACCAGGACGTGGGGTAAATGACCATCAACTGCGAGCGGGTAAGAGTCTCGGGGTTCCGAGCATAGCCACAGGGGTACGAGGGTGCAGTAGGGGGCATCGGGGGACCGCCGGGAGACCAAGGGTGAGGTGCGGCAGTCCAGATAGAGCGCTAGAGCATCTATGGTCCCGAAACCAGGTGATGACATCATCGGGTGGAGTCGGACCAGGTGATGACATCATCAATCTGAGTCGGTCCGACTCGGATGAGATCAAAAGGGCACGGGACGTGACATATCAGTCCAGCAGATGCGACTTCTATTGCTTGGAGATGCATCACATCATCTTCTACGGGGTTCTGAAAACATGATACGACCATCATGATCAATACATGTCGTTTGGGCGCGCCGCCAGCTATTTATGATCAAGCTTTACTTTCATAACTTTCATATATATTCAAGCACCTTGAATGCCCACATCGCTCGCTCGATCAGCTGCTACATCTACATATCGTTTCTAGGATAATTCTATTGAGAAACCCGGTTTCACGCGGAAACCCTTCCATATAAGGAAACTTTGCAGAAACCCCGAGAAAATGTTAACCAGAAACCCACTTACGGCACTGACAACCGGCGAGCGGAGTCTCAAGGTTGGATGTGCTCGTTTTCCCTGAGACTGCGACATGAAGGCTTGCACACGCAAAATAAGCCTGCCCCCCAACTATTGATGTGCCCAAATGCTGTCTCTAAGGGGTCCCTGTTGTTTTCTCCTGCAGCCGAGGTACCGAGGCGTGCCGAAATCACGGCAGAGATTTAAGCCTCCGGCAAGCGCAGAATGAGGATGCAGCTGGATGGTTCAGTGTTTGTTGAGCTGCCATTTGGCACATAGAGGTTCAAATATTAAGTAAACATATATATTTATGCCCACCTAGCTGAGTATGTGATAGCACTGATAGAAATTCTGGCTGGGTGGCCCTGCTGGGACTGATCAAGGCTGAAATGGAGCAAAATGCCGTTTACTCAAGGCTCACCATAAAGCTGTCCAATTATAAATCTTCTCCAAGTGAATCTAACTTTTAAAAGCCTCCCAGAACCGTTTGCCGCAGGAGGCAACACCTCGGCACCACTCGGCAATGAATCCGGCACCCAATGGGTTTCTCGGAATCTGGGTTTCTAAATAAGGCCCTGATCGGGTGCACGGAATTTCGCCTGAATCCGCACGTGCACCTGAATTCGTCACAATAGGTCACCTTTAGCCTACCGCCTCCAATATATCGTCTTTGGCCATGCCTCTTGCCTACCCTGTCCGTACAACGTCCCAAGAAACCACATCTACTGTTCAAGCCATACACTGCCGCCGCCATGCTGTCCATGCCGCCATTATCTCGACCATGTTTTTTGGCAATACACTTCTCCGAAACCCAGAGCCCATTCCCATGCATACCTCCATCTTGACAGGCCAGCGATGGCTAGACGAGCTTCTCAATGGCCATCCACAGCGCTGCCTCAACCAGCTTGGCATGTACCCAGCGTCCTTTTGTCTACTTTGGTGGGAAATGGCAACAAATGGAGGTCTCGTTGACGGCCGATTTGTAACGTCACAAGAGCAACTGGCTATCTTTGTCTATTGGATGGTTCACGGTAGCAGTCAGAGGGAGCTGATGGAGCGGTTCCAGCACTCGGGAGATACGATCAGCAAATATACGAACCGCGTCCTCGACATTGCTGTTGATGAGTTCTATGCCAAGTATATCCAAGACCCAGCAGACGAGACGCCATCCAAGATAGCCGAGGATGCGCGCTACTTCCCTTTCTTTCGCTACTGCCGCAGGGCTGTCGACGGTGTTCACATTGCCGCATATGTTCTTGCTGATGATATCATTCGCTACCGTGACCGCCATGGAGAAGTTTCGCAAAATGTCCTGTCGGCCTGTGATTTTGACTTGCACTTTGTGTATAACATGCCCGGCTACGAGGGAACAGCCGCAGATGGCCGCCTGTTTGATACAGCGCGCCGGAACGGCTTTCATCTTCCTAGGCACCGCTACTACCTCGCTGATGCGGGCTTCCCCAACTGCGATATGCTCATGACGCCTTTCCTTGGTGTCCGGTACCATCTCAAGGAATGGAAACAAGGTGGACGAGCACCAGAGACTCCAGAGGAACTTTTCAATCTTCGACACGCAAAACTGTGCAATGTCACGGTTATCGAACGAGCTTTTGGTGTTCTCAAGCGTCGCTTCCGCATTCTCGTTTCTCGCCCCGAGTACAGCTACACAGCACAGTCCAAGATCGTCTGTGTTGCTGCCGCTCTGCACAATTTCCTTCGCATTCACGAGCCGATGAATTTCCTTGACAATGACAATGACGAGTATGATGCAGACAATCATCCGTTCCTTACCAATGCCGCTGTTGTCCCAGGACGTCGAGTTCTCGCAGTTACTCAGGCTGAAACAGATAGGGCGAATGCAAGGCGTCATGCAATTATGTCAAGTATGTGGGAACACTACGTAGACGAGAGGGATAACCGGGATTAGCGACAAAGAGCGACAATGATCATCAAGAGGGTGGTTATATTAACAAGCGAAGCGGACGGAACAAAAGAAACTGTACATAGCTAAGCGTAATCCAAGGGAACATCCATTCCGTGACTTCTAAAGAGAAGCTTCAAAAAGCCTACGCGCTGAGCTCGATTGGGTGCCTTGATGAAGATACGAGCACGAAAAGGTTTTTCACCAAGGTCGTCAGCAACAGCAGCAAAGAAAGCACCATCAGGATCTTCAGGCAGAAGGGTTGGATCCGCGGCTAACAGCTCCATAACCTCGTCGATATGACTCATATGAGTCGTGTCTTGCTTGGTGACGATTGGCGTGCCCATCCCATCACCGATCCTGTCGAGACTGCGAGCAAGTTGTGTACCAGCTTCCGCATTGCGCCGTGCAACGCTGGAGCCACCGGAGATCGATCGATCACGTTGGCTAGGTCCTTCGTCATCATTAGAATCGCTGGGAGCACGTTGACGCTTGCGGGAAGGAGGCGGAAGCAATTCATCATCAAACGGCCGAGCCACAGATGTAGACGAGGCAGGGGAATCATCGGGAATGAGCTCAAGATCAAGATCGAGCATGTCGTTGTCGACAGTGGCCAAAGGTTGCCGGTTCTGCTTTCGAAGTTTCTTTTGTTTCGACTTCGAGTGCGGGGGTATATTTTCTTCCTTCTTGCTGCTGGCTTTCGTCTTCTTTTGCTTCGGGTGAAAGACATTGGCGCCGTTGGCCTTGTTACCACCAAAAAGATTTGCGCAGCGATCGTAGTAGGGGCAAGATGACTTGAAGCAACGTGCATACTTCGTTCCATGCTCCTAGAACTTGTGAATAGACATAACATGTGTCAGAATTGGATGCACGCACCTCGACAAAGCTCTGAACAAATTCTGCCTCCGCTGTCGCCTGTTTCTTCTCATCATCCCACCCAGTACCACTCTTCCCTCGAACGAACTCGTAATCCTCGTAGATACGTTTCACCTATTGGATATCATTATATTTAGACCAAAAAGGTTGCATATACGCACATATTGGATGCGATTTTGGCATGTGTTTTTGCTACGAACAGGACGGTGCGGGAACTTCTTGCGGAGGGCCTCAGCAAGGTCAGAGTGGGCTTTCGGCTTGAACCCATTGCCACTCATAACATCTGCCTTCCGGGAGAACAGGTAATCGAGCGCATAATTCGTTTCGGCTTCGCTGAACGCGTCAGACATGGCAGCGGGTAAGTCCTCGTCGTCAGAGACATTGATGGGGGTCCCCGGGCCGGCGTGTGACGCCATACAGCTAGACGTGTGTCAGAAGTGGTCTGAACAAGTCGGAAGGCGAGCACGTACAGCAATGTGTTGTAAGAGTCGACTGCAGCGCGGATTGAGGGAGAGTGACACCAGCGTGACAACGCGGCGGATTCAGGCGCACGTGCGGATTCAGGCGAAATTCCGTGCACCCGATCAGGGCCTAAGGATGCTGGGAACCGGGTTTCTGAATAGAATTATCCTCGTTTTTATAATCCATAATAAATTTAGTAATTATCAAAAGCGTGTCTCAACAAACACAGTGCCTAGTATCTCGTCTGCGTGGAGTCTGACTAGAGCTGATAATGTACTATTTCGACCGTTTGTTCCCTATTTTCTACATTTTCGTCGACCGGGATGACCGAGAAATTTTCTTTTGAAATAAGGCGTTTTTGAGCACATAAAAAAGTTGGATGTCACCGTCACCTGAACAAGTGGTCGAAATAGTACAGTACTACGGAGACTAAACTATAGAAACCCGGAGCACCACGCTTTTTAAGCGAGCTTCGGGATGGATGCCGGTTGATGATGACATGCCCATGTGCGGTGACTGCAGTCAGGCGAGTGAGAGTCCTGCTGGTGTATCGTGCACATCTGCCATCGTTTCGGCAATTATCGATGAGTCAAGCAGAAGGACCCCGTTCAATCCGGGGGCAGGACATTCTTTTGCCTGAGTAGCAAATTCTGGTCTACGTAAGAGGATGAGACTTGTGATGCGGGCATGCCACCCAGCATGGCGGAGTTTGAAATGGTAGGGACAGGCATAGGCATGGGCATTGATGGCGGGCATGCCATCACCAGCATGCCCCTCCTCCGCTATCGCTGACACCCTTCCCATCGCCCTCGGCGGCGTCAACGATATCCTGGGCGGGTTTTCGGCATTCCCCCGCCCCGTCCCGTCGTCCCATTTGCTCACTGTGATGGGATCAATCCCGCTGCTGTCAGCGACGACGTCGATGTCCTACTGCACACATCCTTCCAATCAAATTCATAAGATATTTTTAGGGACATTGAGGGACCGATAAGATGTGTGTGGAGAATATTCAATACCATCCTGCTTGCAAAAAACACGCCTCACGGGTTGCCTAATTGTTGGCATGGCTGGCATGCCAGTGTTCGTTGCACAGACGGGCATGTCCCTCATGCTGATGGGCATGGTCCTTGCGAAAACAGGCATGCTGTTATTTTCGGTAGAAAATTGATACTAAATGAACAGGCTTAGAGAGAATTCCTTTGTCCTGGTGTCCTTTGTCCTGGTGTTTGTCCTATGACCCTCGGTGTCCGTTCTCGCCGCGGCACGTGGTTTTTAGGCATATATTATGTTCTGCTTCCATTACCACAGCGGCGATAGAGAGAGAGCGAAATAACACCAAGACTTTGCATTTTCGTTGCAACCTCTATCAACAAAAAGTTTCCCACAACCTTACTCTGCTTTTGGTACTGGTTTGTAAACCGGTTTATAAATTATAAACAGTGTTTTTGGGACTTCGAGGCAAAGGGACCTGTTTGTAAACCAGGATGAGGCACGTGATGCCTTCGGGCCGAGACGGCGAATGTCAATCCCAATTACTAAAACGGATATCACCGACACCGGCGAGGTCGCAGTTGGCCTTACTGCCCTTCAAGAGGCTCTCAAACCCAAGGATCCAGTGCTGCGCAGCTTCCCATCTCGCTTATTCAATGCAGAGACATCAGGTGTGGACTTTGGCAAGTCCATACTTTCGTGATCTGCTCAGCGACACTCCGATTGAAGGTGCATAGCAGTTCCAAGGCTTTGGGAGCCATCAGACAGCGCAGGAAGGGACGAGAAAGGCGTGAGGAACACAAATTTTGGTTTCCGGACTCAAAAAAACCATTTTTAGCGATTTTAAATAAAAATGTGTTTATAAACCGGTTTTTGGGTCTCGAAACAATGTAAACAGTTTTTGGGTCCCAAAATCTATATAAACTGCAGCCTATGTTACGAGCAGCAACATCGACGAACATCTGATTTGCTGTCGTTTCCCTTTACAGTCATTATCATGTGTAGCCTTTAAGGACTCATGCGCTGAAATTTGCTCTAACCTTGCCTTGAAGGCACAAGAACTAAAACTGGCACAATATCTCATTCCACCTGATTCCTGCTCACGTTAACGATAGCCGACGCTGGCAGGGTTGTGGACTACACCAATAATTTTTTTCTGTTGCCAGGCCTGAAGCTTTCAATTCACCCACAGAACGAGATAGGACATTGACAAGTGCTGATCATGAGCACAACAATGGGGAGGAGCACAGGACATAGATCAAGTCATCAGGGGGCAGAGGAAATGTCTAAGAGCTAATTTAAGCTCCCATGCCCGAAGTATAAGTTTGGTGGGGCACCCGACAAACGGGCATGGACACCCGACAAACGGGCATGGGCATGACAAAATCAGCATGCGTCACCAAAACGCATGCCCATGCCCGATCATGCCCGTTTGCGCGGGGGCATGCCTGTTTGGCATGCCGAAAACTTAACTCTCGTAAGAGGATCAATATAATAAGTTCCGCGAATGGCAATAAATTTGTGCGTTTGTGCGAAGGTTCAACGCTAATGGCGTCATTTTCGACCTACAAAAGCGATGCTTGATGCATTGATGTGCTGACAGGAATCACAAACTGAAGTGAACAGAACTTATAGACTGCACTAGTATATCACCATAGTCGTAAGATGTTGAATACACGAGTCGACGGTGTCGTCAGCCTCGGGTGTACTGTACCATTTCATTCAATTCGTATGTCACGCGTCACAGCAGCCGAAATATACGAAAATGTTCGTACCTGTCACGGGTCACCGAGGGGATATATGAATGTGCCAAAACAAGTCACAAATTCAGCTGAAATAGCTCAAAAAATCAAATTTTCGCGCGCACTGTGCATATTTCTCCAAGACACCGGCAAGATAACGAAAACCCTGGTTTCCTGGTTGAGTGGCGCTCGGGTCGTCCAGTGGAGCGTGAAACTGGGTAAAATCACTGGGAAAGGTGTTTCGGACCAATTTGAGTGAGTGTTCATAACCACTTTATTCACAAACAGGAAATTAAGTTCCCTCATAACTGATCTGGGACTTAACAATAGAGCCTATTCCACGGGATCTACGATTTTTTTTTGGTGTCACGGTCCGCCCGGGCGATTTACGAAAACCAAAGTTCGAATTTTCGTGTCACGGGTCACAGCCCAGGAGAATTGATCGAAATGGTACAGTACCTCTCACGACACCGCATACGGTGATCGGACAAACTGCACGGATAGATATCGATGTCAACTGCGGCTCCGCCCGTACTACGAATCTAGGTCACAGACCGGATCCACTGTGTGAGGCATGCGAGGGCCCGATGCCAGCGGGCGCGGAAGACGGGATGCTGCCCAGGTGGCATGTTATTGGAAACATCAGTGAAACGGAAACTAATGGCCGTGGATTCAAGTTATCGAGCACATGGAGTGGCGTCGGGAAATGCAGAAGACTGTAAATCTGTCAGACGCTAGTGCGTTTCACAGTGGTCTTGCAGGCCATTTTCAACCAGTACATCAGCATCTTTCGAGTTGAAAGATTGATCATGACGGTCCTTGTGAAAAATTCACAGCCCTTTGATTCCCCGCGCGGCGCGGCGCGCACAAAAATCTTGAGAGCGCCGAGTTGGACGAGACGGCTCTTCTAGTTCTGAGGACAAAGTTCACAAACCAAAACTTGTTTTGAGGTGTTTGTGTCTTATTCACAAACCAAAACTTGTTACAGTGACCATTTTTGTCCGCGCAAACGGCTTATGTAAGCGCACGTGCCGCACGTGCCCCCTCCCCCTTCTTTTTCAGTTGACTTTGCTGTACTCTAGAGCTCGGTTCCGAGCGGTACCTTGCACGCTGGAGAACATCAAGTCGGTGTTTCGTTCAGTTCTGTTTGTTTGCCACGCCTCTGCCACCTAAACCAGTCCCGCGTTGCTTTGTTCGAGGTTCCTTGCATACAGCCACCACGCTCCTGCGCGCATTGCGCTGCGACGGTTGGGACATGCGAACGCCCACTGCTTGTCGTACGAGAGAGGCGCGGACGTCCAGATGTTCTATAAGGGGCAAAACGAGCAGATGGCGAGGTAACCAGGTGCGTACTGCGCCGCCGTTTTTTTAAAACATTCCTTGAGTGACCCTCCGTCCAGGCCTTTCCGCATGCACACTCTGGCTCGCGCAGTACCCGATTAAGCCGCCGCCGCTCACCGCTCAGCCTGTTAATCAGCTGACGTTGTGGACCGCCGCGCCCTTACGCTGGCAGGCGTGCGGTTTCGGACTGCCAGTGGTCGGCACAAGCCGAACGACATTTGTTTGCCCAATGCACGATGGTTCTGCCTTTTAACCCCCCTCGATGCAGGCTCTCGCTTCTCGTCAATCGACCCTGACCCCCCGCAATACTGTATACGCACGTGTTCAAGGCGCCTGCGCGTTGTGCGAGCTGCCCCCGATGCACCCAAAGTTTGAATCTGGCCCCCATGCCCCCATCCATGCACGCTGTTCTGCGCTGGTACGGATCTTGCCCACTGCCCAACGGCGCCTCTGTTATGCGCCTGCACAACGGTCTCAGACTCGCGCGACGTGCGAATAGCCCATTGCCTGCCGCCCATTGAATGCAGTAAGCGTAGAGGTGCGCATGGGTTCGAGTGCAATTTCTTGCGCTCGTCAGGTGCGCGACCGCTGACGAATGAGCTTGCAAAGTGAAGTGTGCACTGGCAGCAAATTTTCAATCCAACACATATGCGCGCATGCACAGCGACCGTGGCGATATTATGTTGGCTGTCGATGAGCCCCAGCTCCATCCCATCATCGCTGTACATATGTTCTATGAATTACATAACTCGTGGGGAGTCTTGTTTTCAAGCCCTGCTTCGCTTGCAGATCTGCAGACCTGGGTCAATATATTTGATTTCCTTCCAACAACTCGTTCACCGCAGGTCTCGTTCGGAATCGGGCATATTGTGACAGTGAATGTGACGTTACTCAACACCCCTAGATCTTGCCTTCCGCCACATCTGTCCGCCTTTATTTTCTCCTGCTGGAGCATACTTTCGGCGTACGAAAACTGTCAGTGGTATCGTCGGTAAAGTAGCGTTTCTTTTTGATAATGTATTATCTTGAAGGCCTGAGAAGGCAGACATTACCTGCGCAGGGTGCTCTTGTGAATACACGGAAAATGATGGAAGACGCGGCGCTATGCTTGTTTTGCTACTGCTAGTGTCTCATGCGCCTTTTTATGTTGACAGTCTTTGCCATTGTCCACTGCCTGTGACAGGGACGATCGATGTGAAACCGTCGATGTGAAACAGACCCTATAGTAGCCTCTTGAGTTCTTGAATCTTGTTCCTCTGGCCGCCCGCTTATGCCGTTTGTGACGGAGGCAATCAGCAGTCCGCCAACACGGGATTCGGGTTCGGGGGGTCGGTTCGGTATCGAGGAGCTAGTCGGGGGTCGTTCGTTCACGCAGCAAGAACTGGCGTAATGTCTGGAATTCAGCTCCTGGATACATACACGCGAGTCGTAATATATACAAGGTCCGGGAATAAAATGAGTGTCCGGTGCGTGTATATCCGGTCGTCGGCGGCGAATGGTCGTTAGGTGGTTTAATAATGGTGTAGAGACCATGCATCGTTGTCAAGGTGTCGA